ATTCTGATTATCATCAAACTTTAAAAATTTTGCCAGTGTACTCAGCCGGTTAAGCTCAGGTCATGATTTTGTGGTTTGTGGGTTCAAGCCCTTCATCAGGCTCTGTGCTGACAGCTCAGAGCCTGGAGCCTGCTTTGGATTCTGTGTTTCCCTCTCTCTCTGCCCTTCCCCTGCTCATGCTCTTTCTCTTTCCCTCTCAAAAATAAATCAACATTAAAAAAATTTTAATTTTGCCAGTCTAACAAGAGAAAATCATTATTTTGCTATACAGTGATAATGAAGTTGGGCCTCTTCTAAATTTTACATTGGGTTTTTCATCTTAACTGATTTTTAAAGACTTTTTTAATTACTGCAGTTAACTGTCATAAGTATTTAAAATATTTTTATGTTAATTTTCAACTATTGAGTTTTTTATAACTTAATAATCAGGTTTAGTTTTAGACACAAATAATGGAAATCCATACAGTGGTTTAAACAGATTAGAGATGTGTTTTCCTTTAAATCTGAGGATACCCAGTCACCTTCTGGTCTTCTCAGCCATACTTAGTTTCTTTATCTCAGTGATTGCTGAAGCTTTAGTCATTAGCTTGAAGTTCCAAGCAGGGATATGGGATATAGGGGTTTGACGCTTTGAATTGTTCCCCTTCTAGACCTTTTCTGGAAGCTCCACTCAGTTCATTCTGTTTATATCTCAATTGCCAGGGGTGTATTTGGCTCCCACTATTTGTAAGGGGGACTGAAAAATGTGGTTGCAGCATCAAACAAAATTGTGATTCTGTTCATAACAAAGTAGAGGATCATTTGTGTTTTTCCAAATGGATCTCTTTGTTTTTAAGGGTAAATAGTGTTCCTGTGTGTGTGTGTATCACAGTTTCTTTATCCATTCTTCTATGAGGGACACTTAGGTTGTTTCCGTATCTTGTCTATTGTAAATAATGTCACAGTGAACATGGGAGCACAGAAAAGTCTTTGAGATACTGATTTGATTTCCTTTGGGTGTATACCCAGGAAAAGGATAGCTGGATCATTCTTTTTTTTGTTTTGTTTTGAGGAAACTTCATTGTGTTTTCATAATTGTTATACTGATTTACATTACCACAAACAGTATACAAAAGTTCCCTTTTCTTCACATCCTCGCCAACATTATTACTTTTTTAAATAATTGCCATCCTACCAGATATGAAGTAGTACCTCATTGTGGTTTTGGCTTTCATTTCCATGATGGTTAGTGATGTTAGTGATGTTGATCACCTTTTCATACACCTGTTGGCTATTCCTGTATATTTGGGAAAATGTGTATTTGGGTTTTTTTTAATCTATTGGGGGTTTTTTTGTTGTTTTTTTTTTTAATTTTTTTTGGGGGGATGTTGAATTGAATGTATTCCTTACATATTTGGAATATTAATCCCTTATCACATATATTACTTGCGGTTATTTTCTCTTATTCCATTAGGTTCTCTTTTTATTTTGTTTTCTTTGCTGTGCAGAAGCTTTTTAGCTTAATATAGATATGTTAGATATGTTAGTTTGACTGTGGTAGTCCTTGCTCTGTGTGTATAAATGTTAAATCATGTTGTACATCTTAAAAATATACAATTTTAGTTTTATTTTTTTATTTTTTTTTAAATGTTTTATTTATTTCTAGGAGAGAGAGAGACAGTGTGAGCAGGGGAGGGTCAGAGAGAGAGGGAGTCACAGACCGAAACAAGCTCCAGGCTCTGAGCTGGCAGTCAGCACAGAGCCCGACGCGGGGCTCGAACCCACGAACCGCGAGATCATGACCTAAGTGAAAGTCGGACGCTTAACCGACTAAGCCACCCAGGCGCCCCAATTTTAGTTTTAAAATAACAAAAATAAAAAAGGAATTAGAGAAATTTGGGAATAGGGTAGGCAGCTGGCAGTTTCCATGAATAAATTATAAATTCTTTACCAGTATGCCTTCTAGTTTACTTTATACTCCCAAAAGCTGGGTTATGAGCTTTGAGTTAGCACTGAGCAGTGAGTTAGAATTGAGCTTTTGTTTTTTCCTTTTCAAATGGAAAGTTTATGAAATAATCCTTTTTTATCCAGATTTTCACTTCTGATTTGAATGCTACCTGTACTTAGTATACATATTATTATATATTATTATATATTATATATTAACATGTAATATATAATATAGATATAATTCTCAGAAAGATTTGCTTATGCTTCTGTTCTCCCTAGTCCATTTTTTTTTTTCTTTTTGACTGTCTCTTCTTTAGTACAAAACTCTGGTAAGCACTGTAATTATTTCACCTTCATAGGGTAAGGTTAACACTTCTCCTATCATTGTTTTTAGTATTTTCTTGCCTACTGTTACGTAATTATTTTACAAGTGAACTTCAGTACCTAATATTTGGTTGTGTGAACATCTCTTCACCTTGTCTCCAAGGTTTTCTTCTTAGTGAGAATTTAATGTGTTGGTTAATTAGAATTGACAGCTTTACAGTTCTGTATTTGTTGCTCCATAGTTTAACGTTCTCACAAATGTCTTGTATATTTTTAAGATTTATTTTTAGATCTGTGACATTTTTCTATTATTGGAATGTTTATGTTAGTTTAAAATTTTTATGGTAAAATAAACCTAACATAAAATTAACCATTTTACCCCTTTTTAAGTATACAGTTCAGTGGCATTAGGTGCATTTACAATGTTATGTAGCCATTGCTTCCATCTATCTCCAGAATGTTTTTCAACTTTCCAAACTGAAACTTTGTACTCCTTAGATAATAACTTCCAAATCCTCTTTCTTCCTAGCCCATAATAACCATTTTGTTTCTGTCCTTATAAATTAGACTATTCTAGATATCTCATATAAGTAGAATAGTAAAATATTTGTCCTTTTGTGCTCAGTTTATTTCACGTAGCATGTCTTTAAAGTTTATCCATGTTGTAGCACCTGTCAGAATTTTCTTCCTTTTTTAAGGCTGAATAATACTCGTTATGTGTGTATACCACATTTTGTTTGTCCATTCATCGGTCAGTGGACATTTGGGTTGAGAGATATTTATTTTTGAGAGAGAGACAGAGCACAAACAGGAGGAACAGAGAGAGAGAGAGAGAGAGAGAGAGAGGGAGACACAGAATCCGAAGAAGCTCCAGGCTCTGAGCTGTCAGGACAGAGCCCAATCCAGGCTTCAAACTCACAGACCGTGAGACCATGACTAGAACTGAAGTCAGACACTTAACCAACTTAGCCATCCAGTTGCCCTGGGTTGCTTCTCCTTTTTGACTTTTGCAATAATATTACTATGAACATTGGGATACAGATATCTTTTCAAGTATCTGCCCCATTCTTCTGGGTACATAGAAGTAGAATTGTAGGATCATACAGTAATTCTGTGTTTAAGTTTTGAGAAACTACCATACTGCTTTCCATAGCAGCTGTACTTATTTTACATTTCTACCAGCAATGTAAAGGTTTCCAGTTTCTCCACAGCCTCCAACATTTACTTTCTGTTTATTTGGTGTTTTTTAAAAAATAATTGCCACCCTAATATTTTGAAGTGGTAATTGTGATTATGGTTTTAATTACCCTAATGATTAGTGATGTTAGGCACCTTTTCGTTTATTGGCCATTTGTTTATCTTTTTTGGAAAAATACCTACTCAAGTCCTTTGCCCATTTCTGATCCGGTTGTTTCCTTTTTGTTATTGAGTTTTAGAAGTTCTTTGTTATGGATATTAACCCCTTATCAGATACCCAGCTTGCAAACATTTTCTCCATTCTGTTGGTTGCCTTTTCTCTCTATTGATGATGTTCTTTGCACAAAAGTTTTTAATTTGAGATAGCCTCATTGGTCAGTTTTGCTGCCTTGATATTGCCCAGAAACCATTGCCAAATTCAAATAAAGCTTTTTCCCTTATGTTATTCTTCTAAGATTTTTATAGTTTTAAGGGTACCTGAGTGGCTCAGTTGTCTAAGCTACTTCTGACTCTTGATCTCAACTCAGGTCTTGAGCTCAGGGTTGTGAGTTCAAGTTCAGCTTTGAATTCTGTGCAGGGTATGGAGCCTACTTTAAAAAATATATATATATATATATATAATGTATATACACACACACAATGTATATGTATAAAGCTTATATACATATATAAAATTTATACACACAGATATATATAAAATTGTTATAGTTCTATCTTTATGTTTAGGTCTTTGGTCCATTTTGAGTTAATTTTTGCATATGGTGTAAGGTAAACTTTGTTCCTTTGCATACGAGTATCCAGTTTTCCCAGCATCATTTGTTGAGAACTGTCCTTTCCCCATTGAATGGTCTTGATACTCTGGTAAAAAACCTTAGGGCTTTATATGTAAGGGTGTATTTGAGGGCTCTTTATTCTATTCAGTTAGTCTGTCTTTCTGTGTTTATGACAGTACCATGCTGTTTTGATTACTGTATGGTAGTAAGTTTCAAATTATCTTTTTCTTTTGTATGGAAAAACACTAGTGACTTTAAATATTAATTAGTAGCCAGAGAGCTTACTGAATTCTTTCACAGTTTTTCAATTGATTGTTCAAAGATACGTGTGTTGCAGATAATGGTAAAATACGGCTTTTTAAATTTTGTTTTTGTCTAATTGCATTGGCTTTAAAACAATGTTAAATATATTGCCTACTTACATTATTTTTTTCTTGTTTCTAATTTAATGGAAATTCTTTTCTAATATTTCACCATATCATATGATGTAGCTTTTGTTTTGAGACGTATTCCTAAACTTCTGAGGTTGACATTAAAAAGCTTAATTATTCACCATGGCGTATGATGTAGCTTTTGGTTTTAGACAGTCCTAAATTTCTGAGGTTGACATTAAAAAGCTTAATTACAGTTTGGCACTTAGTTACAGTTTGTTTCTTGTTGCTGTTAATAGGAATAAAATGTTGATCTAAAAGTGTCATAGAAGGACTGCCCAGTTTTGGAATTCATATGTATCACCTCCAAGGACCTCAACTAATTGACTTTTTGTGTCTTTTTCAGAATGGCCAAAGTTTTCTGGTTTTGGATGAACAAAGATTTGCAAAAGAAATTCTTCCCAAATATTTCAAGCACAATAACATGGCAAGCTTTGTGAGGCAACTGAATATGTGTGAGTATGGACAGCGGTTTCTTTGGAGCACTGTCATCAATGGATTAAACCATTTTTTCCCATTAGGTTGATAAAGAAAAAGGAAATTCTTTAATTTTTGTATATTTTAGTCCTCGAAATTTTTACTCTTTTCAGATGGTTTCCGTAAAGTTGTACATATTGACTCCGGAATTGTAAAGCAGGAAAGAGATGGTCCGGTTGAATTTCAGCATCCTTACTTCAAACAAGGCCAGGATGACTTGTTGGAGAACATTAAAAGGAAGGTGAGCTGTTGTTAATGTGATTTACTTAGGGCATTACCATGTAGCATATTTGGCCAACTTAGTATTTCACCTGTTGAAATTAAGAATGTACAGAAATATACAGGTGTTCCTTGTTGGGATGACTTAGATTGATAAAGCTTTCATTATTTCCCTCTCTTTTTATATTTTTTTTCCTCTGTAGTCAACTGTCCTGAGGGCTTAGTCTTCGGATACTGTCTAGAGGGAAGGAAAATCTTTACATTCTGAGGATTGAGGAATCATCCATGTTGGGATGGCTCACTCCTTCTAATTTAGCTTAAAAATGTAAGCTCCTGCTAGAATGTCCACTCTCTGGATGGCTTTTTCTTTAGTTCATTGCTGAATATACAATTCCCAGAATAAGTCCCTTGCATTGTAGTAAGCATTTAATAATACATTTTTAAATGACTGGTATCTTTTGCTGAAATAAAATATTTTACTAAATCCACAAAAGAGAGGGGATAAAAGAGTTAATGGACCATGAAAGAAAATGGCCCAGTGTGCAGCTGTTACTGCATAAATTTAATTAAACATGGAATGTGATAATAAAGAGGCTTGAGGAAATTATAGTGAGTTTGGCAAAAGGGAATGAAAAGAAAAAAAGCCCCTAAGTTGTTCCTGTTCTTGGAAACTTTTCCACATTTAAATGTTTAAAAAAACAAAAAATAGACTGATTATTTTTTATTCTTTCTCTTTGAGCTATGAAGTTTATTCTTTTTATAAAACCCTAACCTGGGCTTTTTGGAACTAAGTCTAATTTCCTGAATGGGGTACAAAACTCACTTATGTTAGGAAAGCTTTGAATTATATATAAACATGGTGTTTAGTATTTGATTGATTTCCTGAATTTGCTTTCAAAAGGTTTCATCTTCAAAACCAGAAGAAAATAAGATTCGTCAGGAAGATTTAACAAAAATTATAAGTAGTGCTCAGAAGGTTCAAATAAAACAGGAAACTATTGAGTCGAGGCTTTCTGAATTAAAAAGGTAAAGTATTTTTCCAAATATAATCTTAATATAGGGGCTGGTGTGTATATTTGTGTGTAGGAGGTTGGAGGTTAGTGCTTTAAGTACTTAGATCACATTGTTGAAACTGAGATAAAAGGTCATTTTTCTTTAAGATTTGGTTCCCTATAGCCCTTGACTTTACCTCAATAGTATATTTTCTTGATGGTGGTCAAAAGAATTTAGGGCAGTTAGAACAATATGATGCATGAGCGTCACTGATGAAATAGTAGATCTTTAAATTGTGGTAGGAAATATGATTCTACTTAGGTTAGATTTCGTATGATGCTCATACACAGGAGGGCACATAAGCCATAAAAAATACTACATGTGTTACTCATTCTTTTTTTTATGGTGGTTTTATAAGACTTTTCTATGTGGCCCATCTCTTAGGAAAAAATAGGACACAAAAAATAGGGAAAAAGGACACACGAGCCTTGCCCTACTTGATACTTATTTTATATAGACATGGTATAGTGTTATTCAAATCTTTTATCTACAGAAACTTGCTTTTGCTTTATTACAATTTTTGGCACCATTATTTGCCACAGTAACAACTTACATATCGAGTAGATGTATTTACTTCTTAGTAAGTAGTTGAGATTTTTTCTCTTATCCTAATAGGTGACAGGTCTTGGGAATAATTTAAATTTTATGTATTGTCTCCAATTTCAAGTGTGGGACATTAATTTAGCTGTCTTAACTTAATTTTCATTAAAAGAGTAACCTTGGATGTGATTCCCTTTTTTGAATAAGACTTAATTTTAAGCTGTCCTATTGTACATATTTTATTTAATCATTTATCCCACTTTATTATATGTGGTTTGTGTCTGCTGAGGTACCTTTTGACCCACTTCCTTGAATCTCAGGTTTAGCACTTAAGGAATGGGATCCTAGGTTCATCCTGTAAGTTTTAGAGGTAACCATTTTTCTATTTATAGAAGGCAGATAGATGATAGTATCTTTAAATATTTGAGTCTGGGGCACCTGGGTGGCTCATTCGGTTGAGCATCTGACTGGCTCGGGTCATGATCTCGCAGTTTGTGAGTTCAAGCCCCATGTCAGGCTCTGTGCTGACAGCTCAGAGTCTGGAGCCAGCTTTGGATTCTGTGTCTCCCTCCCTCTGCCCCTCCCCCTCTCATGTCCCCCCCCCCCCAAAAATAAATAAACATTAAAAAACATTTTTTAAATTTAAATATCTGAGTCAGAAAAAGTACTCTAGTTATTCAGTAAGTATTAAAGTTTCATTTTCAATGCCCTCTATATGTAAATCCAGTCCCTTTTGTAATAGTTTGGCTTGAGGTAGATGGATATTATGAAAATTAACAAGAGCAAAAATCAGAGCATATAATAGGTAGATTATCTTTCATGCCTTCTCAATGTTATCATTGATGCTAACATTTAATAGCTGCAGTTTTAAAAATAGTTAATGAAGGAAAAGACATTATTACTACTAGACAAGTTACTGGTTTGTCATATATTTAGACATGCTTAAAAACTTGTTTTAGTGTTTTCATATGTTTGTGTTTGAAACATCTTAAGATAGACAGTTTTAGAATCGGATAGACTTTTAGATCGACTTCAAAACTTACTATAAGTTTCCTGTGCGATTTTAGGCAAGGCCTCTCAATTCTTGAGTTTCAGTGTCCTCCTCTATAAAATAGAGTTAATAATTCTTTTCTTGACTGATTTTAGAGAAGTTTAAATAAGAAATACACACCAAATGCTTAGCGTAATGCTTAGAACATAGGAAGTGCTGGGTAAATGTCACTTCTTTTAAGAATTCTAGGGGTACCTGGGAGGTTCAGTTTTTTAGGTATCTAACTTCAATTCAGGTCATGATTTCGCAGTCTGTGAGTGTTACTCCTGCATTGGGCTCTCTGCTGTCAGTGTGGAGCCTGCTTTGTATCCTCTGCCTCCCTCTTTGCCCCTCCCCTGCTTGTGCACGTGCTTTTTCTCTCTGTCTCTGTCACTGTCTCTCAAAAATAAATAAACATTAAAAAAATTAAAAAAAAAATCTTTTCTAAACACATGTCCTAAATTCACTTGGTAGTCACAGTTGAAAGGTTGGTTTATTTTTTGAATAAGAAGTAATGAGCCACATTGTCAGAGAAGTATATTACCTACTACTGTATGGATGTAGGCATGAATCTTAAAATTTTGTGTTTATATTGCCAACAGTAGAATGTACTATAGTTATGAAAGGATGATTCTGGAGCTGTGTCAAGATAGTTGTTATTTTATGTAACTGAACCAACATTTTTCTAGTCTCATAAAAGTAAAGTTCACTGGTATTAATGAAATATCTTGAGATCTGGCTTTCTGAAAAATATTTTTGTTTTTTAATAAATGATGTAGTGAGAATGAGTCCCTTTGGAAGGAGGTGTCAGAATTACGAGCAAAACATGCACAACAGCAACAAGTTATTCGAAAGGTAAGCTTTTTTCCACCATGACTATAATCTGCCTTTGTTTAATTTGTGTACCATTCATAACCTAAAAAAGTCTGTTGAATAGTTAGTGATTGATATTAGTTTCTTATATATGGGGTGCGTATAGAGTAGTGAAACTCTGAAATCAAATTAAATTGTGTTATATTTTCTCTTCTTTCTTTTTTAAAAAATTTATTTCCGAGAGATAGAGACAGCATGAGGAAGGGAGGGTCAAAGAGAGAGGGAGACACAGAATCTGAAGCAGGCTCCAGGCTCTGAGCTAGCTGTCAGCACAGAGCCCAACACGAGGCTCAAACCCACGAACCGTGAAATCATGACCTGAGCCGAAGTCGGACACTTAACCGACTGAGCCACCCAGGTGCCCCAATAAGAAACACTTCTTATTAGCTAAGTATGGTTGTTTCATATTCTCAGCTAAAGTCTCATTAGCTTTAAGTGACTTAGAGCCTGATATAACAACTTTAAAGATACTTTATTTTTGGGAACATAATATACTACCAATTTCATGACATTTTTTACTATGAAAGATAGCCTTATTGTGTGGGTTTGTTATTTTTGTTTTTACTATTTTTTACTTGGAAAGGCATAGATCTGATCTTTGAAGACAAATGACTAAAATTTTCAAATCAGTTAACCAGATGAGTTCAAAAAATGAATTATCAGTGTATGCCATTATTAGTTTCTGTAGATAGGCAGTTAATGTAGTGTGTTATAAAACAAATTATAGATTTTAGTATCTGAGCTGAAAATTACTGGGAGAACTGAAAATCTCTCTGTTGCATTGTGTCCTTGTGATTTAGTCTTTTCATATCAGCTTTCATGTGTTAATAAGAGTTGAAACATTAAAGTAATTAAGGCAGCTATTTTTTGCTCATGAGTAAACTAGACTCTGAAGTTTAAGCAACAGGTTTTGGGTGGGGGAAGGAAGGGTAGGAGGTCTTTAGCTAAAAATAGAGTTATGACTGACTGGATCTGGGTCTAGTGGAGCAAGCTTAGAACAGAGATGAATGGTTGCAGCCTTCGGCCTGCAGTAGAAATAGATATACTGGGGTTTGCTTTTTTTTTTTTTTTCCAATCAGTATGCAAGTGAAGGGTATAATACAGAATTCAGTTTTAAGTGTTTAATCCACGTACATATATTTTCAAAGTTTCCCTAAAACTGATTCCAACATGCAGCCCTGTTAGGAATACCTGATTTAAAATGATAGATATATTGTATAACCTGTACTTTATTTTTAAAAAATCATTTAATCTTTTTCAGAAAATGTTTTAAATATTAGCTTATTATACTATATAGCTTTTTTCCCCCTAAAGTCAAGGATAGTTGGTAAAATACTTATATAAAATTTCAGTTTTTCATGGAAGCTGACATTCTGTCTGCTCAAATCTGAGTTTGAATGTATGTGATTTGGTGGAGCTAGGGAATTTTCCTAATGCATAGTGATAGCTGATAGTGATAGTGATAGCTGATAATTTTTCTTTATTCCTGGACTTGGTTCATAAGTTTGCCATTTACTCTTTTGCCTTGGCTCAGTTGGAATATATGTGAGTTACTGGTATAGGTGCCTGTTACAGGATAGGAAAATAGTACCAGTCATAGAACTTGCCAGGTCCAGAAGTTAGATGATGTAAATGTTAGATAACTTATCTTCTCCTTCAGGAAACAAGCTTTGTACAACATGATGCAGAATTGTCATGAGAGAACTAAGATGAACAAATTTCAGGAGAAATTTATCTAGTGATTCATAATCTTGTAAATTCAACCACTAATGTTCTTAGAATTTTCCTATAATACTTATAAATTAACAAAAATAATTGAAATCAAATTATTTCATTGACATCTTTAAGCTTAAATTTAACTTGTCTTCTCATCAGCTATCAGTCAGCATTTTCTTTGGAATAGGATTAGTGGCTAACTTCCTTTTCATAGACTCTAATGCCATGCTTTCTTCTGAAAGAGCTGGCAGTTTCTTTTGCCTCTAATCATATTACTTAGTGTAAGAAAAATGTTGCCTGTCACTTTTTTTCCCATTGTAATCTTGAAAGAATTTTAAGTAGAACGTTGGGATCTGTATCCAGGCATGCTTAATACTTATCACCAAAACAACTGAATTGAATATTGAATAGGTAAGTGGGTAAGTGGGTGGTTGGATAGATAGATGGATGAATGGATGATTAGGTAGATGAATGTCTTAGGCATCTTGGTATTACAGGTAGCTGCACCTTTCATCACAGGATATCCTTCTGCTTGGAAACCATTACATTTCTTTAGATATCAATTGTAAGATGCACTCAGATTTCAAATATGTTAATATGTGAGAAATTATGTGACTTAGAGAGCATGTAGTATTTGAATTAATTTTGTAAGACGTAATATGGACTAAAAATTAAGAGTCTATGGTGGAAAATTTTTTGTTTATATTTTCTTTTTAGATTGTCCAGTTTATTGTTACGTTGGTTCAGAACAACCAACTTGTAAGTTTAAAACGTAAAAGGTAAGATTTTGTGGTAAAACACTTTGACTTATTCATGGACAAGTAAACATTTTAGTGTTTTACATGAATGACTTACATTTGCTTAGTGTATGCCTTTTGTCCCAGATTCACAGTACTTCCTTGTTAATTTATACTCTCAACATGTCAAGACTAGTGTTATTATCTCCTGCTGTCATCCCGCTGATGTTTTTGAAAGATAAGGTAGCCTAAGTAGTCACTTTACAGACACATACACAGTTAATAAAGAATCCATTTTTATTCACATTAGCAGTTTAATATAGCGTTAGATGACCTGAGTGAGGGAAATTAAAAAACAGGTCATGTATTGAGAAAAAATAAAAATTTTTTTACTTAATCTCTTATGTTTAATCCACTAATAAAGGATTTAAAAACCTATCTATTGAGTGTAGCTTGTGATACCTATAAATGTTAGTAACTGCCATTGTCACAACTAAAGCTTAAAGACAATGGACAAAGGAATAGTTGAAAAGCAGAAAAAGATCTTGTAAGGCTAACAATATTCTAGCAAAGCTTATTTATGGTTATAACTTAGGCTGTGGCCTTAACCCTGCTTCCACAAATTAGTTCTCATGATATTACCTATTTGTTTTTTACTATGTAAATACAGTTTATAAAGAGTTATATAGCTCAGTCAGCAGTGAAGTTTATCCAGAGAAAGTAGTTTATTATATTTATTTTAAGAAAAACCGTACAAAAGAATGACAAAAGTCCTAGACACAGTTATCCTCTAGTTTCTATTCCTAAGATGTGACCATTTTTTTAAATGTTTGTTTATTTTTGAGAGAGAGAGAGAGAGAGAGAGAGAGCATGAACAGGGTAGGTGCAGAGGAGGGAGACCCGGAATCTGAAGCAGGCTCCAGACTCCTAGCTGTCAGCACAGAGGCCTTTGTAGGGCTCAAACCCACGAACCATGAGATCATGACCTGAGCCAAAGTTGGATGCTTAACCAACTGAGCCACTCAAGTGCCCCCAGATATGACCATTTTGGGAGTTCATTGTGTATCATTAACAAATCTCTTATTATTAAAGTGTGTATGTTCATGTGAGGGTAAATTGTTAGAAGCAGTTTAAATTTCTTATATATCTGCTTCACTGAATTTCATGAATATCTTCTGATTTTCAGACCTCTACTTCTGAATACTAATGGAGCCCAAAAGAAGAATCTGTTTCAGCATATAGTCAAAGAACCAGCTGATAGTCACCATCATAAAGTAATTTTTTGGTTAAATTCTGTTTATATTATTTCAAGCCAAATTTTATTGTAGCAGTATTCCATGCAGAGTTTAGTGAATAATAATTGTGTGTTCATCCTCCAGCTTTATTAAATCATGACATGTTTAATTATTTGCCTTAGATTTTAAGAAATAAACCATTTTAAATATAGTTGTCTTGGTTGCCTGTTCCTAGATTTGTTTTTCACCTCTTTTTCAGGCTCTTCTAGATAGTCACTGTCTTGAATTAGTGTTTATTATCCCCGTGGTCATTTTATATGTGTGAATTCTTTTTGAACAATATTTGGTATTATTTTGCATGTATCTAAACTTTATATAAATGATACATAATTTTGCACTTATCTTTTTGCATTGTAACTTTTTTCACTTGGTTTTGCTTTGGAGATTTATTAAACACATTTAGTTAATCTCAACTATTATATTAATTGAGTATTATAATAATGTAATTATGCATTCATCTATTGGTTATTTTAAGTTATTTCCAGCTTTTATTATAAATTGTATAGACTAGACTTTTTACTCAAGCAATTTCAAAGCATATTTTTATTTATCTTTATCTTTGTCATGGGCTTTCTGGATAATTTGTCAAACTTACATCCATTGGCAAGTCAATCCAGTCCAGAGTCTAGACTTTTTTTAGCATCTGATTTTCATTGTTACTTTCAGATTGGAATTCTAAATACTGCTTCAGATTTATTAATGTACTAAGATTTTTTTCTTGAGCAGACCAGAATTAATATCTGGTTCTTCCCACCACTGTTTCTAAATAATCAAGCATACCTAACTGTTGTGTTCTTGAATTGAAGATTCAATGTAAATAGATGATGATTTTTAATTTCACTAGATTTATGTATTTTTAAGTACTTTACATCTTTTGCCTCTGATTTATCTACTGTTGAAATTTATAGATTTTAAAGTATGATAATGACTTTAGTTTGCTTTAGAGAATTTAATGCATTTTTATTAAGTACCTATGATCTAAATATATCTGTAGCTGAACAAAAAAATTTTTGCTAAAAATACAGGCTGACATTTAACTGTGGAATAGCTGAAAGGTTTTTTTTTTTCCTATTAATGAAAAGCATTTAGTAAGAATAAACCATATGTCATATAGAGTAGCTTGAGATAAAATAATCCTCACCAGTACAGTGGTCATCTGGATATGCTTGAAATTCCTGGTGAAATCTTAGGAATTTTCTTTTAACCCTTTGGATATAAACAATAACTTAAAATTTGAAGATCTTTTTATAGAATCATTCTGAGGCATGTCATCCTCAAGATTCCTTACAGTAAAAGAAATAGTTAACTAGAATAAAGTAACACACTTCATACCTCTGTGAATTGGTACTAATACCAATTAGTATGTAAGTCCCATTAGGGTAGAGAACATAGTTGTTTTGCCTACCATTGTATCCTCAATGTTTAGTAAATACTGGGTGCCTAATTAGCACTTTTTAAATAGTATGTTGTTTGGTAGTCAGTATAATTTCAAATTTTGATATATATTTTCTCCATGATTATTTTAGGTTCCACACAGTAGGACTGAAGGTTTAAAGCCAAGGGAGCGAATTTCAGATGATATCATTATTTATGATGTAACTGATGATAATGCAGATGAAGAAAATATCCCAGTTATTCCAGAAACTAATGAGGACGTTATATCTGATCCCTCCAAGTAAGGAGATTATGAAGTAAAATTTGTAGAAATATTGGTTACTTATCAAAGAGCTAAATTCAAAACTACTTTATTCTGTGAAAAACCATTGTCTAACTCATGTCTGGATAATTAAACTGAAAAAGCCAAATTATTCAACCACATGTTGTCCCCTCAGCAAAAAGACTCCCAACAAAAAGTAAAGAGAATTCTCATTTTTTAATTATGGAGTTAAATGTCTAATTGATCCTTTATGGTCTTGTATCATATGATAAATCAATATTTATGATTAAGCTACTCACCCAAGAAATTTAAGCCTTTTGATATATGTTTTGGAGAGAAAGTTTCCATGAAGAATGAATGGACAGAATGAATTTATTGAATTTGTTTGAAAATATAATTGGTTTTCTTATATCCTGATGTAGCTGTAGCCAGTACCCTGATATTGTCATTGTTGAAGATGACAATGAAGATGAGTATGCACCTGTCATTCAGAGTGGAGATCAGAATGAACCAGCTAGAGAATCCCTAAGTTCAGGCAGTGATGGCACCAGCCCGCTCATGTCTAGTGCTGTCCAGCTAAATGGCTCATCTAGTCTGACCACAGAAGATCCTGTGACCATGATGGATTCCATTTTAAATGATAACATCAATCTTTTGGGAAAGTGAGTGTTGATCTAGATGTCTGAGCTTATTTACTTTCGTTAACTTCACGTTCTATTTCTCTTTCAGTGATCTTTCTTTCACATTATGAACCCATATAATCTATCTTGTTTTGGTCAAGGCTGAGCTCTGCAAATGTTATTTTGAAAGGATTTAATCATCCCAAGAGCAGTCTTGGGATTTTCTTGGCAGTTCGTAATAAGGCACCCCTGTAATGTGATTTTAATGTAAAAACAAGGATTTTAATGTAAAAACAAGGAAACCTAATATTTGATATTTTTTAAATCTTTTTATTTTAGGGTTGAGCTGTTGGATTATCTTGACAGTATTGATTGCAGCTTAGAGGACTTCCAAGCCATGCTGTCAGGAAGACAGTTTAGCATAGACCCAGATCTCCTGGTTGATGTAGGTACTTTGAATAATCTTTGCTATACTGGAAGTTTGTGTATTTATGTTTGTGGTGTTAAAACACTACATCATTTCTTGTATTCTACACTGTCCTTGCATTTTCTTTTTTAAATGAATGATTTTGTTTATCAGAAACAATGAGCAGATGGATTCAGGACAATGAAGGAGGGTGATCAGCAATCACTACCTATTTCTGAATAACAGTTCAGTTAATCCTCATATAACAATGTATCAACTCTGTTCAACAGTACTACTAAATCCAGGTGTTCTGTAGACTTGTCATGTTTTGTTTTGCTCTAAAATAGTCACTGAATAGAAATTGGTGGAAATTTAGTCGTAGAATTACTCAGCCACGAAACAGTATGGAAATATTCCTTAATACTTTGTGAATTAATGTTTTCCACTCAAATGAATTAGATTTTATTATATTTGCTATATTTTAAAAATTTTTATGCCCTGAGTCTTAAGGTTATCCTGCAATCCCCACTACCTCCTACATGAACTGACTCCAGTGTTGTCTGGACTGTGAATCCTTAGCTACCATTTCTGGCATTAACTAACTACCTTTCTTGCTTTCTTCCCTCTAGCTCCTACCACTCCTCTCTCTCTTACATAGCTTGGTTCCATCCAGGTGAATATTGTTCCCTGTTTGTGTTTTCTATTGTAAATATGTTTCTCTATCCTGAAAAGTTTTGTTGCTCCTTTATTTATTTGTTTATTTGTTTGATATTTTCTGCCTTAAAATGCAGCTTCTCTTCATCAAGATATTCTTCAGTCTTGTCCTTTTAAGGGCTTCTTAGTGAGGCTAAAAGGAATTAGTCTTTTCTTATTTTTCAATCTTATTAATTCACCACCTTACTCTTCTGCTTCTCATTAGTCTTTGTCAATATCCATGATTTGATTATCCTTTGCAAATGATCAGTATATCACAGGATGGATTTCATTTTCTTTGGGATTTCTTTTCCATACTGATCTTTACCATTTTAAGTGAATTCAGCATCCATGTTAATGACCTACTTTAATTTGTTAATAGTAATTTGACAGCCCTTCTTGATTCAAGTAGTCTTTGTCCCCACTCTGAATCCAGAGACCTTTTTAGAATGTTTGTCCTTTAGATCATAAGAAGAAAATAAAATCACATCATTCTGACCCTCTACAAATCCTTGCAGTCTTCAGTTAGATTGTTATTATTTTTTTTTTTAACATTTATTTATTTTTGAGAGACAGAGCATGAGCAGGGGAAGAGCAGAGAGGGAGACACAGAATCCAAAGCAGACTCCAGGCTCAGAGCTGTCAGCACAGAGCTGAACGCAGGGTTTGAACTCACAAACTGTGAGGTCATAACCTGAGCCAGTCAGATGTTTAACCAGCTGAGCCACCCAGGTGCCTTTTCAATTAGATTATTTTAATTTAACCTTGGAACATTTTTCACACTCGTCCTCAGGACCTTGTCTAGCCACCTCTTCCCTGTTCACAGAGGACAATCACCATGCCTTCATTGTCTCATAAGCTGTGGAACCTCATCTTCTTTCTTCTTAAAGGAAGTGCTTTCTTTCCCGTTAAAGCTGCCCTCTGCCTCTGTTTTTCTAGCTCTGTCCTTAATCTCTCATCTTGCTTCAGTAGGTACAGATCTCCATCTTAAACATTTTGATGTGTTGCTCTGTTCATTTAGCATTCTACTTCTCTAATTCTTTCACTGCAAAGTTTTAGAACTGAATGGCTGTATTTGGTACTTCTTTTTTACCCTAAATTTCTTTTGAAACCCTGTATTGTTCAATTGCTTATTTATTCTAAGCCTGCGCTGCCTTGGTTTATCCATGAGTAGGTTACAGTTTTTTTTTTAATCAGGCCATTGGGGTAGTAGGTTTTTTTTGAGTTAGATGGATTTGGGTTTCATTTAGCTTATGTCACTTACTAGCTATGGTGTTAACCTTGGGAAAACTCAGCTGTCTTGCCCAGTTTCCCTATTTGTTAAATGTGGCTAATGGCTAACATGAAGGACTCTTTTGGGGATTATAAATAATTGATGATATTATTTTTAACATTAGTGATATTTGACAATGGAACTTTTTCTATTGATTTTAGAGGCACTGGATTTTTTTTCTCTTTTATCTTCCTAGCTTTTCTCTGTTTACTCTAAGAGCTTTTCTTTTTCCTGTTTTCTACTTGTGAGTATTCCCCCAAGGTACCATTCTTTCATCCTTTTATCTGTTCTATGTCTCTTCTTTTTCTGTCCTTTCTCTGTGAAGGGATTTTGGCTTGTGGGATTGCTCTCAAATTTATATCTCCAGTTCTTAATAGTTTTTTAAAGTAAATGCTTGAATTCTAATTCCATGCCTTTGGGATGATCCATTAAGATCTTGCCTTAGATTACTGATGTTTAATACCAAACTTTTCTTTATTCTCCAAACTACACTTTGCAGCTTTCTTATTTTTTATTTTCTTAATTTTTAAAATGTGTATTATTTTGAGATGGAGAGACAGAGCATGAGCAGGGGAGGGGCAGAGAGAGAGGGAGACATGGAATAGAAAGCAGGCTCCAGGCTCTGAACTGTCAGTACAGAGTCCGATGCAGGGCCCGAACTCACGGACTGTGAGATCATTACCTGAGCCAAAGTCAGACGCTTAACTGACTGAGCCACCCAGGCGCCCCCAGCTTTCTTTTTTTCTATGGTGGTATCAGACTTCTCTTTACTCACTCAGGATAGTAATCACTGAGTCATCTTGGTTTCCTTATCTCTATCTCATTGTTCACCTGGTCCCTAAGTATTTTCAAAAATAGCACTCACAAATCATCCCTACTTTCTGTTTTCACTGTTGCCTCTCTTATCCAAGACCTTCATTATTTCATCCTTGAATTATGCTGTATTATAAAAATCCACCCATAGGTTGTTTTGTTCTCTGAGGTGGCAGAGATGGTAAGGACATGAACAGGTGTGCTGAGGAACTTATGGGTTCTCTGCAGAGTTCAGTACTGAGTGACCTAGTGTGACGTGTCAGCAAGAGAGGCCTGGCGTTAGGATTAAACCAGCTGTGTCAGCACTCCTCCTATATGATCTACTTTTTTCTGCTTCACACTATGCATCTGCTGGGGATACCTGAAGGTATCCCTGATTTAATGGGTAAGGTGAGTACAGCAAAGAAGGAGTGAGGAGCTTGTACTCTACATATGCCACTCTTAATAGGGACAAAAGCTGGTCAATCTCAGAGGCAGTGACAAGCTGAACTTGGCAGAGATTGGCAGTTATGTGCAGTTATCTACTCTTAAGGATCTGAGTCTCATCCTTTTCATGGTTCAGTAGGTAGTATGAAAGAAGGGAAGTTAACAAAGGAAGAACTGGGGATATTTTTAGCATTATCATGAACGTGGAACGTAAGGAGAGGAATCACTGTCTAGTGAGGGTAGAGGAGGGATCTGTCTGTAATCTCTCTGCATTTCATTTTATCCTATGAACCATTTGGTGTGTTCATTCTCCGAAATGCTTTAATCACTGTATGTCATTGCTGAGGCCTTTTCCAAGCCTGTTATTGCTGACAGAGTGTGGGCTTGTCCACTGACTGGCCTCGTTCTACTTTTTGAACTTTATGCATACAATTTACTATTCAATTCAGACTGGTCATCTTGTCTGTTTCTAGAACTTACCCCACGACCATACCTTCTTCTCTATTATAGCTAATACTATAACAGTTTATTCTTCTCTCCATTCTCTCCTTTCCAAATCCTAGCCATTCTTCAGGGACTGATCTGTGTTGGATAGCTACATAAAGATGTTTTTGTTTCATCTTGCATGTGTGCACTCACATGTGATTTTTTTTTCCTTTCTCTTCTTAGTACTTTTGATCCCCACTATCCTTTACTGTTATAATACTGAATCGTATCTGATCATATGTTGCTATTTAATATTGTTCTTGTCTTTTAGATTGTAAGCTCCTAGAGAGCAGGAATAGTGTCTTCATCTTATATTCTTCATGATGTCAGTTATTTCATAGATGCTCAATAAATCTTTGTGGAATAAATGGCTTTGAAGCTTATGACTTAAAATTTATGTCTGTAAACTGGCTGGATTGAGGAGTACAGTAAGCAGTGGTCTTAGCATTTACGTCTTCTGTTGCTAGGTGAGGTGAAAAGAACCAACAAGGAGGTATGCCATTCAGTCAGAGGACTGCATATGAGGTGTAATTTAGGAGCCACTGTCATCGAGTAGATTCTATAAATTTCTCACATTAGCAGGTAGTCAGTAAAGGCTTACTGTCTGGGCAAGGAACTCATTCCTGGGTGCCCGTTAAAGCCAAAAGCGCTTAGAAAGAAAATAATAAAGGAGATGGAGGAGAGGGAAAGTGGGGCAAATCACCATTTGTCTTAAGTGATTTACTCCACTGTTTTATGGAGAAATTCTTAAAACATCTTGCATGGGTTAGCTTGCTCTGCTTTTGTATGTTTTTCTTTCTGCTTTCCTGCTTTTCTCTTTCAAACTTGTTTTTACTGTATGAAAACTTCCTAGTGCAGGAGCTACATCTCTTCACCCACATGGCTATATAGAAATTTTGAACACACAGTTCTTTTTTAATATTTTTTAAACTTATCATCTTTCTTGTTTGGTCTTTCAGCTTTTCACTAGTTCTGTGCAGATGAATCCCACAGATTACATCAATAATACAAAAGTAAGTTTTAATTCATGTTGCTCAGGACCCTTAGCTGTAAGAATCTGAAAAAAAAAAAAGTTCTAGTAAGTAGAGAGCAATATCACTCCCAGTTACAAAAATCATTTTATATTTTTACCCTAATATGTGTGAACAAGATAGTGAAATTCTAGATGAAAAAATAGCTTTTGGTTATGGGGGGAGTCATTGCCCAATTCTTTAGGCACTTGTGTGATAAACTACCAATATGAAGTCAGCCCTCAAAGGACTGGGAGATCAACTGAACATGTCATGTTCAGGTATATCACTGAAATTACGAAAATATTTTTTTTTTGTTTTATGTGCTTCAGTTTACATTCTTATTCCTTCTATAAATGGCTTCTCAGCAATTTTATTGAAAATTTACTGGTACCAATATTTTTAAATAAATTCCTTCATTTTATTAGCATGCAGTAAAAGCTCAGGGATTTGAACTAATTTGTACTAATTGTAGGTAAGGCAAGTTGAAACAATGAAGTGTGGATTTTGGACATTTTTTTTTAAGTACTGGTTTTTGTTATTTTCTTAGACTTCTAGGAACTGCAGTTGGGATTAGCAGATGTTGACCTGACATTCTTTAGAACTTGTTTTTAATGACTAATAATAAGGACAATTTGAAGTTGTTAAGAGCCGATGATTAGAATCATTCTGTTATTTTGTATATGACTTACTGTTTTAAATAGGTGTATACTCTATTTATCTTGTTTTTTTACCAAACTTTTCAGTCCCATTTTTTACTGAATACAAAGGTATAAATCAGGTCCCCTGAAATTTGTGTAAGTTCTAGATTAGTGGAATAAAAATTTAATTTCATTCTTGTTCCTTGTAGTCTAATGTAAGTGGTTAGAGTGAGAGTAGAATTTTAATTTTTTAATGCTTTATTTTATATTTGAGAGAGAGACACACACAGAGCACAAGTGGACAAATGGGGGAGGGGCAGAGAGAGAGAGAGATACAGAATCTGAAGCAGGCTCCAGGATCCCAGCCATCAACACAGAGCCCAACTGCAGGGCTTAAACTCCTGAACTGCGAGATCATGACCTGAGCCAAAGTCAGACACTTAACCGACTAAGCCACCCAGGCACCCTTAAGAGTAGAAATTTTCTGATTAATGTCATGTGTGAGGCTAGCCTGACCAGATTTTCTATATATTCAAATTATATATTATAATCTGGGTAACTTAGAGTTGGAAGAAGTTACGAATTTTTGAACTACAAAGTTGATTATACATTCAATATTTGGATTTTTATCTGAGGTTGGCATACTTTTGTAAAGGCCAGTTGGTAAATATTTTCAGTTTTGCAGGCCATATGTTCTCTGTCACATCTACTCAACACTGTAATTATGGTGGAACAGCAGCATTAGACTATACAGAAAAGAGTGAGTGTAGCTGTGCTTCAGTAAATTTTTATTTACAAAGACAGGCAGCATGCTGAATTTGGCATGTGGACCACAGTTTGCCTGGATTTGTATTTGAAGGTTCTCTGGATCACTTCAGTACTGGGTTTCAGTAAATATGATACTACTGCTTGTTAGATCTTAAGGTGAATGAACCCATATCATTTATTTAATAGTGAATGTGCTGCACTGTTTATTGATTGGTAGACATTGAGTCATTCTTTCTCCTTGGATTATCCTCTTTATTCCAAAACCAGTAGCTTAAATACAGTTCTCAGATAGAGCAGTAAAACAGCAAATTGCATACTGCTCTGTAGTAATATAGAAAAATTAGAGAAGAACTTTACATTATAGTTCTAAAATCTAGATTATTATTTTCAAATAATTGGCACATCCACTGTCATTCCCTTGCCCATGACAGGTATTATATTGACATAGATTACACACTCTTTCCTAATAAATCAGGATACTGTACTCTGCAGTAAAGCAATCTTAAGTTGCTACTACTAATGAACAAGAATTTGCATAGGACTTGACATCCATTTGTCATCCTGGTTCTCATGTTTTAGAGTAACAGCGACATCCCTGGGAACTACTTTTTAAAAAGTAAAAAAACAAAGATGGTTTTTTTTGCATTAATGTTTATTCATTGTGATTGCTAAATGAGAAATACTTTTATGTTCCTTTTTCTAAAGTTTTAGTTACATGTTGGGGCCATTATTATATCTGAATCCTGGAAACTTGTACTGCTTCCTTTTATGATGAATATCAGGAGAATTATAGGAATTAGTATGTTTTTTACACTATATGTAGTTAACCAGCATGCAAGTGTCTGGGAATTACATCTATTAGGAAAAATTGTGAACCTCTGCACCTCAGTTTGAACATCGTGGAAAAGAGCATTGAAGACCTAAACAACATTAAAGGTTTAATCTCCTTTACAAAATCAAATGTGGGGAAAGAAGACACTGGTTGAAAGAAGCAATTTAAATAACAGAAAAGAGTTCAGAGTCTCAAAAAGGAAATGAAGCAACTTCACCTCAACTTTGAGGCTTCCAATTATAGAGATAATGGTTTTAAAGACATCATCATGTCATCCTGAGCTATTTACTCTAAATATGTTCAGTTATGCTAAATATTCTGTTTGTGAGTGAATTGAGTAATAACATTTTTAATCAAAACTGTTTAAGATGAGTTTAATTGTTTAAAGAATTCTCTCTTAATTAGTTTAAACCAGCCATCTTTGATTCATTCCCATCTTTTACCCTTGACAAATTCTGCTTGTTCTGTTGAAATGTCCCCTCTCTTCATACTTACTGTCATTCTAGTTCAGGTTCATTGTTTCATCCACTTGATGACAGCAATAGTTTTTTTAATCAGTCTTGATACCTGTTGACATCTCTTTCTCTAGTTCATCTTTTCTGGTGCTTCCCCTTCCCATATATTTCAGATAATACATTAATATTCACATACTGTACCAGTTTTTTATTTTATACTATATTTTAGGACTATATCAAATATGAAACAAGTATTTTTATGTTTTTTTTTTTTCTCTTTTAGTCTGAGAATAAAGGATTAGAAACTACCAAGAACAATGTAGTTCAGCCAGTTTCAGAAGAGGGAAGAAAATCTAAACCTAAAACAGGTAGGTATAAATGTAGTATTAGTTTTTACATGTTTTTTAAATTACAAGTCTTACATAGAAACTAATAGGAAAGTTTATTTCCAAGTATGGAAAGTTTGGCCATACTTAACAGTTGAATTCAGAATGTACTGTTCTCAGTTCTGTGCATTAATGTGTCAAGGTTTCAGCAGATAGAGAAAATTAAATTGGTGAGGTAATATTTCTTTAAGTCATTTTTTTTTTTAATTTAACTTTAGGAGAACTGAAAGAATTCTCATATAGTAATTATTGAATAAAAGACTTAACCTTTCTGACTAGTACATTTTTAAATTTACAGACAGAAAGTATCATATTTCTTGTTTGGATGTATAAGGGTAGTTGATTGCATATATGCACATCTGTTTTTATTTTTCCACCTTCACTTGAACTCTGTATAAGCTGGTGATAAAAGAGCATTTTTCTAATCTTTATTATAGATAAGCAGCTTATCCAGTACACTGCCTTTCCACTTCTTGCATTCCTCGATGGGAACCCTGCTTCTACTGTTGAACAGGGGAGTACAGCATCATCAGAAGTTATGTCCTCTGTAGATAAACCCATAGAAGTTGATGAGCTTCTGGATAGCAGCCTAGATCCAGAGCCAACCCAAAGTAAGCTTGTTCGCCTGGAGCCATTGACTGAAGCCGAAGCTAGTGAAGCCACACTGTTTTATTTATGTGAACTTGCTCCTGCACCTCTGGATAGTGATATGCCACTTTTAGATAGCTAAATCCCCAAGAAGTGGACTCTACATGTATATATTCATCAAAATGATGAACTATTTATTTTAAAGTATCATTTGGTACTTTTTTTTGTAAATTGCTTTGTTTTGTTTAATCAGATACTGTGGAATCAAAAGCACCTTTTGCTTTTATCACACACTCTTGCAAAGCTTTCAGATGTTACTCAGCTACATAGGTACACAAGATTTAATGCACATTGTTGGTATATCTTTAAGTTGGATTCAAATGTCCATTTTTCTCCAGTTATAGTAAATTGGATTCCTTTTTTACATATATGCCCATTAAACCCAGTTAAACTTCTGTTTGTTTTACTTGTTTGATGCTGTCTGTTTGCACTGAGTGTAAGTCACTAGAACTAATGGTAGAATTCTTTAAAGCTTTGTCTGTTCCAGTTACTTTTACTAAATATTTTTCACTTGGCTTATTTTTAAAAACTGGGAACATAAAGTGCCTGTATCTTGTAAAACTTCATTTGTCTCCCTTGTTCAGAGAAGTTCATTCATGTTCAACAGGAAAGGCAAAGTATACTTGAGTGCTTGCTGTCAGATATGGCTCCAGCTTCATATACATAGAAAGAAGGGAATGGGGTGGCATCAACCCTATCCATCTCGTTGGACTAGTTTTAAGTAAAAGTTTTCTGATTTGTTTGTGTTTTTTTGAACCATACTATTTAGTAAAATAAATATAATGAATGTTGCGTACTAGTGTCTGTCATGTGTCTTCTTTAGAGGTGACACCCACATGTATAAATTTTTCTTTTTTATAGGAAGTAGATAGACTTAAATTGTAAACTGTTGTCCATTATTGAGTTACACCAAGATCTTTGTGCCTCATCTCAAAAGATAGACTACGTATTGCAACAAGGAAGGAATATAAGGTCTCTAAACTTAATGTGTTTTAAAGGTGTTTGTTAAATTATACTGGCTTGCATTCTATTTTTCTAATAAAGAACTGAGAGGAGTATGTCTCTCATTTTCCTAAATGAGGTAAGAACATTATCACTGAGTGCTACCCAAAGAAAGGCCTGTAATTTTTGCCCCTAGAGAAGATGAAATAATTAAATCATCTTCTCCCTTTAGAATAGTTGTTCAGGAGGTTAATGCAAGACTAAAGCACCTCTTTTATCAAGTTGAATTCCACCTTCAGGCAGAGGGCTGGAAGCAGTGCAGTTTATATCTGAATATTTGGTAGGGCCTTTTGATTAGGAATTACAAATAATGACCTTTCTCTTGGCCATCTTCTGTCTCTTCAAATTTCTCTTATTGTGATGTAAAAATTCAAAGTAAAACCTAGCACAGAGATAGGAAATCCTTCCTTAGCAGATCCTAAAACATTTGGCTCTGACAGTGGCATCTTGGTTAACTAATTCATGTCCCCAGAAGTTTCTGCATTAGCTGTAGAGATCGCTTTCGCAGGTTGTTAAGGTGAGAGTAAGAATTTAGAGACTAGGAAGAGATACAATTTTAGAGACTTTTTTCCTCAGTGTGGAATATGAAATTTCTTCTCTTTGGGACATTTTGGAGCTCTAGAAGTATTCTAAAAATCTTGAAAAGCTTTATATATTCTAGTACTTTTTAAGTTGAAATTAAAATTTTTCACCTTTAGTTGGAAGGAATTTAGGGTGTTGTTAATAGTACCATTTAAAAATAGTCATTACTGTTTAAAAATACAATTACGTGCTTTTTAAAATGTATCTAAAGGAATCTAAAGACCATAGTGATTTGATATCCATCATCATCCATTCTACTTCTCCCAAAGAACTTTATCCTATTTTTATTATCTGTGAGAGTCTTACATTGAAGATACTGTCACACTTCTCTGTAAGAGAACTTGAAATTGTTTCCTGCAACCTTAAAATTGTGAACATTAAAGAAGTTTGTCTCCAATTATAAATACACAGTTGATTAAAACCGGATAGATCGATGTGGCAGAGACTGTTAAAGGAGTGCCAAGCCATTTTCTCTAACATGCAGTTAGATTATTTCCACCCTTGTAAACAGAGTGGCTATGGAACTGAGTTCTGATAAATATAAAATCAGAAGTGATGTATAGAACTTCAGGTCTGGTCTGTGAAAACCTCCCCTGTGCAATCCTTGCTCTTTTACCCCTCCACTAGCCTGATGCAGAGGAGTATGTGGCTTCTGAGTATACATTCAAGGAGGAAGAAATTTGGCTTCCTGAATCACTGCTTAGAAGAAAGCCACCCATCAATTTTGGACACCCGTTGTAGACTTCAGGTGAGTGGGGAACTTATGTTCTGCCTTTGGAATTTGGGGGGAGGGGTCTCTTCTAGTGTTCACTAGTATAACATTCATATTTTGGTAAACTGTTATTAACCATAAGTAAAATTTTATCAAATATATTTTTAGTGAACAGGTCTTGATGGGGGGGCAGGTTTTCCCTACTTTTTTGTATCTGGGGGTTTTGTTTTCATAGATGTAAAACTAAGAAACTTCATTTATAATAAAAAAAAGTATGAGAATGGAATTTTGTTATAGCAGTGTCAATCAGTTCTCTGAATTTTTTCAGAATTACATACCAGAACTATTTTATTATTCCTCTATAAAGTCTAATTTACCAGAGGAAGTCTGTTTACTGCCTGTAAAACAAGTACCACAGTATGAAGACTGGCACAAGTAGGGCCACGGGAGACAGCGTAGGTTTACTGAGAGCTGAATGTTCTTTTAGGGTAGATCATGCGGTTTTTCATAGGGATGATACACTCAGGTGATAAGCTTAAGTGTGAAAAGTCTGCAGACTGGGAAAAGGACCAAATGATATTCATTGTGATGAACATACATAGAATGCTACACTTAAGAATTAGAGCCTAAATGTTCATTTCAAGCACACATGAAATATTTGAGAATTGGCTGCATATTAGACGATAAAACAAATCAACAAATTTCATGGAATTGGTGTCAAACAGACAATTAATGAGACCTTTACAGTTTTGAGGAGCACTGGCATGGTATTTTGTAGTGACTTTCAATTTGGGATTACCATGCTTTTTCCCATGATTAGACAGGAGTTATGGGTCTGAGAATAAGAAAGGCCACAGAGGTGAAGTGCCATTTTCACCACTCATCAGAACATCCTATGGTTGTTTCTCTGGAGAACCCTAATATGTTTACTTAAAAAGGAGCAAAAGTTCTCTTTATCTTAGATCTTACAACACAGAAAACCAAAGGTGGAAGAATAGAGCATCTGTCCAATAAATAGAGATGCTTTCAGAGCTGTCACAGAGCAGTACTAAGAAGGGTGAACTGGCCAAGTAGTGATAAGTTTAACATAAAGGGACTACAAAACAGAAAATTGACACAAGTAAGGTAAGATCTTTTAAAAATTGGTAAATTGAAGCTAATCAAAATTAAGTACTTTTGTTCTGCAAAAGACCCTGGTAAGATGGAAAGACAAAGCTACAGACTGGGAGACAGACTGGGAGAAAGTATTTTCAAACCATGTATCTGATAAAGGATGAGTATTTAGAATATATGAACTCTCAAAATCCATCAAATTATAATTAGCTATCCAATTAGAAATTTGCCAAAAGGCATGAACAGACATTTTACTGGGGACATATAGATGGCAAGTAAGCACATGAAGAGATACTCAACATCATTAGCCATTTGGGAAAGGCAATTAAAACCACAATGAGATAACACAACGTTGCTATCACAATGGCTAAAATATGGGATGGTGACAAATACTGGCAAGGATGCAAAGAAAATGAATTGTGCATACAGCGACAGTGTGAATATGAAATGGTAGTGACCCTAAGTTTGGCAATTTCTTATAAAACTAATCATTTAGCCCATCCACCAAGGTTTTTCCATCCTTGGTTCCAAAGAACCACTAATTTCCATTTTTTTATTTGCATCATTGAAAGCATGTTAAAAAAAAGACCATGTTAATATAAATGAAATGATACTTTGTAACCTCTTGGGCTTGGCTTTTTTAACCCAGCATACCTCCCAGGAGATCCAGTCAAGTTTTGTGTACCAACAGTTCACTCTTGTCTTCTATTATTACATGATATGGGTGTAGTATTGTGTGTTTAAACATTCATCAGTTGAGGGACCTCTGCGTTGTTGTTAGTTTGGGCTATTAAAAATAAATTGATAAACATTCAGGTACAGGTTTCCGTGTGAACATAAGATTTTATCTGAATAAATGTGCCAGAATTTGAGACATTGTCTTGCCATAATGGGAGAATCAGACCACTTTACTAAACCTTGGTAACTTTATAAATGGAAAAGAATACTTCATTACAATTAAACTCCTTTTTTTTCTTGGTAAGGGACTTTATTTTTTTAAGTAGGCTTCAGCCCAGCGTGGGGCTTGAACTCATGACCCTGAGCTCAAGACCTGAGCTAAGATCAAGAGTTGGACGTATGACTGAGCCATCCAGGTGCCCCCGTAAGAGACTTTTTTTTTTTTTTTTAAATACCATCTTGTGTCAGCACCAATTTGAAACTTAGGGAAAAAATGCCAACAGGACACAGCCAAGTGTAGAAGATCTATCTAATGAATTAAAAATATTCTCCAAATTAAACTAGACCACCCACTAAAGGTTCTCTAGGAGAACATCACTTTAATTTCTTGAGATCCAACTTCAGGGGTTACTTAAAGAGGACCAAAAGGGTGTAACTACCACCTTTAAAACAATTCAGTTTCTCAGGACACAAAATGGACAGTTAACCTTCTTGTTTCAGGTTCTTTTATATACACAGGAGGAAAAGTAGGTCTGAGTATTACAGCCACCTAAATTTGAATTGCTAAAGAATTAATGACACCACACACTTTGTCTTGAATTCATTTATTTAGGGATAGAACACAGCTATTCAAAATGATGGAACACAGTATCAACACCCAGAATAAAGTTGGGGAATTAAGCTGAATTGTTATGTATTTCATTTACATTAATAAATACCTTAAAAGAAGCAAAAGTAGATTTTAAGACACTAATGACATGTACAAGTAACTAAGTTTCTAAGTTAACTGTTATACTGCTTGATTTTCAAGTTGAAAGATTATAATAAACTATATATTTTAATTAGGTGGCAGCAAATACAAAAGCATTTTAAATATCTTCTCAACTGTATGTATAGTGTACTGTAAGCAGTTTATAGTCTATCACATTATGTCATTCTGGCCTCAGTTTATGGGTAGAAGGCAAGCTGGACAACAGGAAATAAAATTATCCACCACTAATGAGGTATAAAATCTATTATTTATGTATTTTGAATAGAAGTTATTTTTAAATGCCAAAGAATGCCAGCTATTTTTGGGAAACCTTAGATTTCCCAGCTTGGCTACATATTAGCAATCTGAGCTTCAGTTTCTGCTTTTTAAAATGTAGGATTGGACAAAGTGTTACCTAAGTATCTCCTGAAGCCTAGTAGATTGCAGTTCCTGTCCTGTCAAAAGTTCACCACGTTTGATTTTTAAAATGAATTTTCAAAATGATTTTCAGCAACTGCCTTCTAACCCATGATTATCGTTTTCAAAAGCTTTGAATCCTTCAGAGCTCCTAACATCTCCACTGAACCTATACTTCTGCATGTGTTTATAACAACCAAAATGAAGTTCACTATGTTCATATGAAAGGCCATCCCTACCCGGGGAAGATTACAACCTATTTGGGTATTCAATTTAGTAGCCCACCACTCCCAGTATTTCTCTGAAGACTCCTCTGTCTCAA